GGGCGACGTGGACCGCAGAAAGGTGGCAAGTGGTCACCCGAAATCGTGCGGCACTTCAAGAATCCTCCCAGGCCACTCCCAACACACAACACCTGTCGCGCCATGAGATGCGCAAGACCAAGGAAGCCGTCCAAGCAAGGGGACTTGAATGAAGTAGTCTAGGAGTAGAGGCACTTCTGGTTGGGTTTCTTTTACTACTGCCCAGCCTTGCAACTTGATAGTTTGAAGGCCGTTGGTGGTTTGATCTTCATCATACACCAAGCTCCACTCGAATGCCTCGCGAATCCCAAAAGGTTGTTTTTTGGATGATTGCAGCCTTAGCGATGTCTCCTAGATGACACTCCAAATCCTGGCAGGCTAATTATAGGTCAATGATTTAATACTATCGCCCAAAAGAAACACTTTCACATACCCTGGAGCTAAGCTGGCATGTCTGGCCGCCGAGCGCACTTCTGCGTGACCCGACTCTCTGCAAAGCAGCACACATTCGCTGCGGGAAGGACCTGAAGATGTGGACTCGGCTGCGTACCGTGCGGCCAAAGAAGAGTTTCTGGTGCACTTTGGGCATGAGCGCCCATTCATGTTAGTATTGGTATGAATATGTATGAATGGTTTTCAGATGATTATTATCTCTTTTATATACATTGCTTTTCCTCAACATCACACCTGAAATGACAGCACTAATTAATCATTACCACATTGATTCGTACCACTCTTGTGCCATTGACTCCATGTCACCATGTCCAGTTTATTCATACGTACGAATCTCCTTCAAGCGCACGGCACTTGCTCCCGCGATCTAGAGCACAATTATTGGCCGTATGTCCGCACTTGTTTAAAGGAAAAACAGCATACAGTATCTGTCAAATGTGGATTTTGTGACACTTCTGCCTATATGCCTGCAGCGAATATCGGGAATATGCCACATTCTGTCTCTGGTATCTCCGCGGCGGATGGCGTGGTCTTAGCAGGCTGTGCCCCTGACAGCTGGGTAGCTCATGGGCCGGATCCCCGCAAAGAAAGCAGGCCTCGTCGGAGGGTCATGTAGGGTCCAAACGATGACCCAACGTACACCTTTGTTACATATATGTATACATTATATGAATATTACATATTTATGAATGACGTGATATATTATATCATGATATGCCAATACCAGTGGTACATGATATTGCAACATACTATACTTAACTATATATACATATTGCATATGTAAACTGATTCACTGATTCATAGATCCTCATGACGATATACCCTGGACCTAAAAGGTCGAACATCTTCATTTAAGTATTCATCAACAGTCTTACAATACATGACTTACAGCACGACCCCTCTTTCACAGGATCATGCCATGATGGGGCTGACATGGACTCCCACAATGCCAGTGGTTGTGGTGAAGAAAAGCAAGCGAACATGAACATGTTTTTTGCATGTTAGGCCGCAAGCTTACCAAAACCGAAGGCATGTTCGGCCGAAGGCTACGTCTTTTAGCATCCAGTACCATACCATACCAAAGTTGCCATAAGAATCGATCTAGTGCAATCTCAAATCACACTGGCTTCTGCAAAGAACTCCCCTCACGCATTTGATAATCTTGCCACAGAAAGCCTTATATATATATATCATGCCAGTAGGACATGCAGGTACTTCAGAAGCCCCTTTTCCACTCCACAAAGGAAGCAACAAATGCCTCTTGGCCGAACACTTCGCATTTTATTACATGGCCACACATGTCCACACCTTTGCGAGCGCTAACTTACGACAGGGATACCAAAAATGTTATATATATAATATAATACATATGTTGGGTATATTCCAATCCCTGTAACAGTGGATAATGATGGTTAGGTTGCAGGCCTTTCTCTAAAATAGTGATCGGTGACCCCCAAAGTATAGAAACCTGATCTCCATCACTCATCACCACTCTACATTCTGGTCAAGCTTGCCTTTGCACCAAGCGGACCAAGCGTTACCCTGCAGTTGTGATTTTGAAAAACAACACATCAAAAATAAGCTTGCACTTCACAGCAGGGATAAACCTTGCACTGGAATCTTCATCCACCTAATCCCAAAAAACATCTGTTTCAACCTGTGTGCTTGCTACCCGCACCGTCCCGCAGGTTCACAGGTTGGAGCATGACCGCACCGTCCCGCCTTGCGAGTGATCTTATTTTTCCTGGCGTTCAAAGGAAAAGTCAACAGTCAAAGGCAAGGTACCAGAAACACCCGATCGCAACAGTTAAAAACCATAGGGTAGCAATGATTACCCCCAAAAGCCTGGTGGTGGCTGGGTGGGTCAAACGCTGATTTTGAGCTTGGACAGTGGCTTTTGTACATGTATATATATATATACTGTGACATATGATATGTGTATATAATGTATGTATATATATATATATACACTGTATTATATGCTACTATATGCCCGTCTGCTTAAAACCAAGAAATAGAGAAGTTGAGAAGTTGACCCTTCAAACAACTCTAAAACGTACCCTGGATGGCTCAAATCCACACCTTAAATTGTTGGTCGCCGAAGGTGTCTGACTGCATCAGCATCACTTTCCCAAACAGAACCCAACATCCACCTGACATCTTTGACATGGGTGTGTATTAAAAAACCGGAGACCTCCCAGTTCGACCCACTGGAAACCTCACAAAACCAACACCAACACCTATCTTATCAACACCAAAACCAAAGGAATTCGACCAAAACCACTTGCTTGGGGGTCTCCCACCCCGCACCGTCCGTTGTGCTCCCGCCGCCGCTGGTCGGATGGGCCCATCGGTTTTAGGGGATGGGCGAAGCTGACATGTCGAAATCACCCAAGCACACTGGCTCGACTCAGCTGCTACCAGGTTGAGTCAAAGTGGCCTAGGGAAGCATTGAGCCAACACACTGGCTGAAGACACGGTGAGCCGGACACGGTGAAGAGTGAGGTGTCTGAAACACGGTGGCCTCCCGCATCAAAAACCCGTGAGAAGGCGCAGCTCGGCTCGGCCTTTTCGAAGCGAAGCAAACGCCACGCCACCCGCGATCCTCCGTGTTGGTCTTTCGCCGAGAACGAACGAGGGGTTCAACGAGCTGGCGCTTATCTTGCAGCGTGCAGTGTGCAGCGTGTTTTTTCTTTTTTTTACAGTAGCGAAGCTCACAACTTCAACCACCTAATGCTGGTTTTATATACACCCCAGCAACAACCCCCTCATGGAACAGTTACGAGTATGTAGATCAAATGAGCCTCTCTGGCTGGTGGATGCTGGTGGTAACAAGGGCTTCTGTAATGATCCAAATGTTTGGGGCTCACCAAGACGCTGGTCCTACGTTGCCTTGACGGTTATACATTAAAAAACCAACTGTGATGCGCTTTTGATTTTCACGCACCCAAAAGCTTGAAACACTTACTGAGCAGGCTGGACTATCAAATCAAGTCTTCGTGAGTCCTCGTCACCCAAACGATCGTTCGGTCGTGAAACAAGCAAATCGTTTGGAGGGCACCACAAAAAGCATGATGTAGAAATGTAGCGATGTAGAACGGTAACATTGTGGCTTTGCATATCGACATAGGGCTGTTTTGAGATGCCGACAAGAAAGCAGCTGTGCCCTTACTGTGCCATCGTCCAAGTGCTTGGCGACCAACACGTCTAAAGAACTGCCGCCCAATCGTGAATCGCTAGTCGATTCTGGCAGTGAATTTCTACGCACTCTTCGCCAACGTTCCCGCTCGAGCAGGTCTGCTAGTCCAACCTGCCAATGATGACATGTCAACATAGAAAAGGAGACATGACTCCATAGAAACAGGTTTGTATATTACTAATATCTATCATATATAATATATATATATATATGAAAATATATTGTTTATTAGGAGTGCTTTACAGTAAGGGTGCAAGTCTACTCCACCCTGCTCAAGACTAGACGATCAGATCCTGCGTCCGCCTTTTTTGTCCTTCGACACGACAATGAGAGGCCTTCGAGCACTGCACTTCGAGGCCTGGTCTACCTTGAACCCATAATCTTTCAGAGTGGACCCGGTGAAGATACCCCCCTGTGGCCCGTTATCCCACGCGAAGCGGGGCATGAGTTTCAAAATCCGGTCAACATAGCTTGCAGTTTGGGCCACTGCACCAAGCTAATCTTGGATTTGCTTAAAGAACCACTGTGATCTTGGGGATGAGTATCAAACTACTGTACCCTCAGGGTGAGAATTGCTGGTAATTACATATTGGACATTATAATATATACCCATTCTCTACTCCATTCTCTATATAGAGGAGTCACACACAAACTGACACTCCGGTGCAATCTCAAACATCCGGGCGGGAACATAACATGTTCCTTTCCTTGCAACGCATTACAGGGTTTTTGCGGCGTCCAATACAGTGCGGGGTGCCGCCTCACGGGCCTCTATCACACTCATCAACCAAGCTGCGTTTTTTCCTTGGAAGGTGTTGAAGACCACTGTGAGTGGATTGAATTTGCATCAGTTGAGCCTCAACATGAGGCCCCAGGCGACTCGCACGTCTTCGGTCCACTGGCGAGCCACCGGCGCCAGCCCCCGGTGGCGTGCAATGAATTATTAAGGAAGGTCGCTGATCGGTGTACCCAAAGACTCCAACATACTCAAAGAGACCATGCCTTCAAATCCTGAAATCACCTGAAATGAGGTCATAATCATAACATCTATTTATCTCACATTGGTTGCTCATGTTTGGCATATTTTGGAAAGTCCAACATTCCAACCAAGTTCAACCTGCGGCCTTTGAAACATCCTTCGCCTTTCGCACTCCTTCAAGCTATAAACCTCCTGGTCGTATATTACGGAATGTTACGCGATATAATTCTTTTGCAATGCATTCGATCATGTTTTGGGGTGCCGGGAGTGACGGATTTACATGTGACTCCCTTGAAGGTGCATCGGTGCATCTTGCCTAGGTGAAGAATGTTCTTTCTGGATCTTTCTGGCCTAAGCCTCATTCTTCAGCTGATGTTAGGCTGGCAAGCACTAAACACCCACACCTCGGCTCAATCGATGGATTGCTCGCGAGTCAAAACCTGACCACACTAATTACAGTATTGTTTGTGCAGAACATATACATATATATATACAAAAAGCACAAACAACAACGGGAAGAGTGGCTTGGAACATTTCTCCATCGATCCGTTGAGCGACATCAATCTGCGAAAGACCGAGCTCCGACCTTCAGTCGCAACCTGGGGCGAGGAACAACAAACACCAGTTCACCAAAAATAAGTACGTATGAAGAAGTGACCAAACGCTCCGTCCATTGCACAAGATGATCGTTGTTTTTTGGTCAGCCGGCCCCGCCACCGCCGTGTGACATCTACCGTTATTTGTTCTCGAATCGATGTGTGTTCTTTGGTTGTTTGTCCTTGCGTTCTGTTGTGTTTTCCGGTTGGAAACGTTTTTACGTCGTATCTTTTCCGGTTGCTGTTTGTGTATGCGCGATGCGTTCCTGGGTTGTGCAGTGGGGTTGGGTTGGGCGGTGGGGAGGTCAAATTCATTAATAGTGTATCTTTTTCACTTGGGGCACGATGCGTCTTTTGGTGTGCAGGGGTGGTTTGCGGGGGTGCGGGTCGGGGGGCAATAATGACGTTCAATGTAACTGGTTGTTTTCACTTCCGTGCTCGAGAGTGTCCGTTTCGTCAAGCTCGTGCTTTGTACTGTGCTTTGTATACCGCAGCGTTCCAGGTCTCAGTATGGTGTGTTTTTCCTTTCTTTCTGCTTTGTCTCTTGCAACGCGCAGGGATGCAGGCTCTGGACTCTGCATGGAAAGCCATGAAGCAATGGATCAAACGTTCTGTCCCGGGTACGTCGTGTGGCAAGCTCTGCAGTCAAAGACTGTGGGATGGTTGCTGAATTCGTTCGTGTTCCGACGCAGGCCGAGCATGGGGCCGCCCATGGGGCGTGAGCTCGGCGAACTCGGTCGTGGCACTCTGGGGGTGAAAAGAACGAAGAAAGAGAAAGAGAGAGAGAGAGAGAGAGCCCACCAAAACCACTTACATGTGTTTGGCCCCTCCCCCCCCAAAAAGGCTCTCTCAACTTGAACAGTACTGACACCTTGAGCTTGACTGTGGGGGATGAACACATGGTTGACACAATACACCTTGCCAATAATGAAAAAAACATCAGAATGTCAAACCATTTGAAACGCATGAAACATTGAGCCTGACTGTGTTCCCTAAAATCAACCTTCTGGAGACATGATGACAGTTGCACGGCGGTGGCAAAGCCGGCACCCTTGTTTTTACAGTCGTTCCGTGTGGGTCTTCAAGATCAAGAACAATCCAAAATCACCAGAGACCTTGTAGTGATAAGCCTTTTCAACCAAGCCAGCTTCCTCGGTCTACCAAAGACATTGCTCCACACGTTTGCTGCGAAGGACAACACTCTATCAAAGCCTGAGGCCAGAGCTTCCGGCTGCCTGGCGATGAAAAAGCTAGTGAATGTGTCACGCTCTCATGCTGCCCAGTCATGCTGCCCGCGAGCCCTCGTCGGCCACAAGCAGCGCACAATGTTCGAGCATAAGGCCCATGAGCCTGACATATTGTAATTACTGTGGTTCTATGATTGTCTTTTGAGACTCATAACTCAAGCCAGTTTCCCCTGATGCCATGACCTCTTTCCGATGGCTCTTTTTATGGCCTCCTTTTGGACCTCCTTCACCAGCATCTCAAACTCCCGCAAAGCTTCCTCTCCGAGAGACGGCATGTTCTCTCCCCGTCGCCCCGTCAGACCAAACCTCCGGATTGGGGGATCGACCACCTGGGATTCGAATCCATACAAAGGGTATACCGTGCTGAAAAAGGGTCCCAATCTCTGAAGCCAACCATACGGAATGGGCCGAGTTGCCCGCCTGAGCTCACAGCCAGCTAGCGCTCCATGTAGTTGGCGCTCCATGTGGATACCATGACATGTGACTCATGTGACGTGTGGGGCACTCCTTCTTGAGTGGACAATCTCCAGAGAATCTCTCTAAGGTCTATGTCGTGGATTTGGAATGGGTGCTTCACCACGAAAGAAGACGCCTTCTTCGATTGTCTCCAGTCCTGATATTCCTCCGAGTCAGGCCCCAAAGATGTACCTGGGCCGGACGAGCTGTCGCAGAAAGTCACACAGAATCGGGAAGAAAACAAGTGAAGAGCTGCGGGTTGCGGTTCATGTAGAAAACCATAGAACACGTTCAAAAAAAATAACATGTGGCATGAGACTTTATGTGCCTGATCTAGTCCAAGAACACAGTCGTGTACAAGTCGATCAAACCACTCTCAGAATCCACGCCCTCCAAGTCGCAAAACAGCTGGTACCTCGCGAAACCAACCCCGGGGAGCTTACGGAAACTCTGCGAAACTTCCTGTGAACTTAGTAGTGACTGCCAGTGGCAATTCGAGACGGCCAATACATGTTTAGTGTTCGAGACTGTGTTCTTTGCAAAACGATGCAAAACTAGGCTGACTGAAAGAAAAGGACGCAATGCACACCAATGCACCCTGTGACTCGAAATCGGCATCATGAGCTTCCGGCTTCTTCCGATTGGCCAACTTGCCTCAGAGATAAACCAAACAAAAAGGAACATCTGGAGATTTGACTAGGAAGTGCGCCGCAAGGTATGCTTTGGAATAATTTTTGCAGTTCTTAGCAGTATGTTTGGATCATCTGAAGTCTTTCTAGCTCAATCCGACCCTTTGCAAACAAAAAAAGTGCAGGCACGACAAGCCAGCTGGAGCTGCACATCATGTGAGGGCTACACAAAAAAAGCATGCGAGGTGGCTTAAGGGGACCGCCTCTCACAGGCCCCTTGGCATAATTATGTATTTTGACATCCTTCCACATAGATTTTATTGTTCCACAATTTCAATTTCACTTACATTGCGGAAGACGCTTTGACACTTACATGTCCGAAACATGAAAAGAAGTGTTGATTGTTTAAGGACGTGGTTTATTGAATGGTTGAAAGCTTGTTGGATTGCTGAAAGCAGTGGCTTGGTGATTATGTTTCTCGCGGTGACATACCAGGTACTTTACATATTGTTGATATTGTAATATGTATAGTTATAAATGTTATAACATATGTTTGAGCTGCATCAATGTATAATATAAACCTTGTTGATCTCATTGGTAGACTTCTTGGCTCTCAACTGGACATGAGTGGCGCAACAATCGGTTTCAGAATGTTTCAGAACAATGTGAACACCTTTGTGGGTGATCCCGGAGACTCATCACAATGTCAAAATACGTTAGGTACCCCCCTTGTCCAGACCCCTTGGAATATGTTCGGTTTAATCAATATGCTGCTATGGTTGCACATGTACTTCGAAATATATTCCAGAACTCATCCACCTGGAGAACCTTAAAAGTCAATGATGTATTATTCCATAATGGTTTCAAATGAAAAGAAACACAACGTTCCAGAGATATGTTGAGTTATCCAAGAGATCCAAAATCCTGGGGTCTCTCTGACCTCTCAAGGTGCTGTGGAAATCAGGGAGAGGAAGGTCCAACGGATTAAATAAGCCAAGGTCGGATGGGCTTCTCTTAATTGTTTTTTCGTCTGGACAGCTAAAGCTTCCAAGATCAGATTGAAGAATTAGGGAAAGATAGGGAAAGCAAGGTCCTTATTATATTGGCCAAGGTGGGATGGGTTTCTCATGGTTTCTCTCATTGTTTGGTGCTTGGTTTGTGAGAGCTATTGTTTCCGGTCTCTGACCTCTCAAGGTGGTGTGGAAGGTGGAAAGGCGGAGCAAGGTCCGGATAAAATAGGCCAAGGTGGATTCGGCTTCTCGTAGATGACACATTGAGGAGGGGCATCCTGAGGTTTCTCTCTGGGCTTCGGAATGCTCTTGTGACGGCCTTCATTGTCCAGACTGAAGAAACCAAACATTGATCTATAAAACACGGCTGAAACACTTGACACCGATTTTAGCTTCTTGGCTAGTAAACCTAGGTGAAAAATATTCAAGATCATATCCCGGTCGACATATACCTCGTCAATAAGTAGTATATTATAACTAGCATAATATATATATGCTATAGAAACTATTCCCAACAAATTATTCCACTAACTCATGGGGGTACCTGGAAAAATACCTATAGGACCGGATAACCCCACATGTGAACAACTTTGAAAGATTGAGGCTGCAGGGGTAAAGTGCGGAAGAGTGAGCATGGGGAAGAGACAGGCGAGACAGATATAAGGCGTGAGGGTCTCTGTGTGTACGTGAGCTGTGTGTTTGTGTGTCTGTGCTTGTTCGTCAGTGTGTATCAGTGTGCGGGTGGATGTATGCTGCTTGGCGCTTGTACTAAATTTGCACTACAAAGTCGCCAGTTCTCAGCTTCCAGCTCCCCAGATTGCTCCGCATACTAAAGTTGTACTACAAAGTCGCCAGTTCTCAGCTTCCAGCTCCACAGATTGCTCCGCGTACTAAAGTTGTACTACAAAGTCGCCAGTTCTCAGCTTCCAGCTCCCCAGATTGCTCCGCGTACAAAGTCGCCAATTCTCAACTTCCAGCTCCCCAGATTGCTCCGCGTACTAAAGTTGTACTACAAAGTCGCCAGTTCTCAGCTTCCAGCTCGCCAGATACTCCGCGTACTAAAGTTGTACTACAAAGTCGCCAGTGCTCATCTTCCAGCTCCCAGATTGCTCCGCGTACTAAAGTTGTACTACAAAGTCGCCAGTGCTCATCTTCCAGCTCCGCAGATACTCCGCGTACTAAAGTTGCACTGCAAAGTCGCCAGTTCTCAGCTTCCAGCTCCACAGATGCTGTGCCTGCCACGAAATCTGCACATGGAGGTTTACAAAGTGCTGTGCCTGGCACGAAATCTGCACATGGAGGGTCACAAAGTGCTGTGCCTGCCACGAAATCTGCACATGGAGGTTCACAAAGTGCTGCGCCTGCCACGAAATCTTCACATGGAGGTTCACAAAGGGCTGTGCCTGCCACGAAATCTGCACCTCGAGGTTCACACAGCGCTGTGCCTGCCACGAAATCTGCACATGGAGGTTCACACAGTGCTGCGCCTGCCACGAAATCTGCACATGGAGGTTCACACAGTGCTGTGCCTGCCACGAAATCTGCACATGGAGGTTCACAAAGTGCTGTGCCTGCCACGAAATCTGCACATGGAGGTTCACAAAGTGCTGTGCCTGCCACGAAATCTGCACATGGAGGTTCACAAAGTACTGCCCCTGCCACGAAATCTAAAGTTGTACCACAAAGTCGCCAGTTCTCATCTTCCAGCTCCCCAGATACTCCGCGTACTAAAGTTGTACTACAAAGTCACCAGTTCTCATCTTCCAGCTCCCCAGATTGCTCCGCGTACTAAAGTTGTACTACAAAGTCGCCAGTTCTCAGCTTCCACCAGCTCCCCCAGATTGCTCCGCGTACTAAAGTTGTACTACAAAGTCGCCAGTTCTCAGCTTCCAGCTCCACAGATTGCTCCGCATACTAAAGTTGTACTAGAAAGTCGCCAGTTCTCATCGTCCAGCTTGCCAGATACTCCGTGTACTAAAGTTGTACTACAAAGTCGCCAGTTCTCAGCTTCCAGCTCCACAGATTGCTCCGCGTACTAAAGTTGTACTACAAAGTCGCCAGTTCTCAGCTTCCAGCTCCACAGATTGCTCCGCGTACTAAAGTTGTACTACAAAGTCGCCAGTTCTCATCTTCCAGCTCCCCGAGCGCCGGCGCCCAGCCGACGCCAGGGCGTACATCCGACCCCTTGGCAAGCAGCAAGCGCCGCACACAGCTCGCAAATGCTACGTGTGAGATGTTGTGTTGTTGGAGATGTTGTGTGAGTGATGTTGTGTGCGAGATGTTGTGTGTGGGATGTTGTGTGAGTGATGTTGTGTGTGAGATGTCGTTGTGAGAGATGTTGTGTGAGTGATGTTGTGTGCGAGATGTTGTGTGTGTGTGTCCACTCCTGTTTCCAAGGACACTACTCTAGTTTTTCTAATCTACCCTACCAGCTTTTCTGTACAGAAGCAGGGGGACAACCCCATGGATGCAGTTGGTTGTCCAACGAAGAGGGCTGCATTCCATGGCTGATATGATCCTGGGACGCTAGGATCACGTACCTGCAATTTTAATACTAATTTTGATTTTCAATCGCTGAGATTTCTAAGTCAGTGCAACGCCGTCTCATACGTTGTTTCCTGCAGTATCTAGATTTAAAGGGCTAATGCACACCGCGAAGCTACCTGAAATCACGCTCCACGGAGCAACCTTCTCAAGTGTGTCTTCGCAGCTTCTTCCCACTGTGGTGAGCTGTGTGATCCCTACGGGGCGCCGTTACCGCAAGAACCTGTTCACTCCTCACCGAGGGAGTAAGTTTCCTGAATTTTCTCTGAAGTCCCTTAGACTGAATTTGACCTGCTCGAAATCAGCTTGGATCGTCTCACCCAGCACACGTGAAGATTACTGCAGAGTTCACTGAAATCCTTTCTGAATCCCACTGCAGAGTTAACTGAAAGAGTTTCACCCGGAAATCCATTCATTCCTTTCAAATCTTTTTAACCTTCCAAGTTTTAATTCCTTTTTCCAGAATTTAATTGCGGTTATTCAATACACTTCACAACTTTTTCGACCTCACGGACCTTTATTTATTTTCTTACATACATACATATTTTCACTGTCTTTGACTTGCCGAGCAGCCATGACGTATCCCTGGCCCTATTCTTTGCCGCCACACATCCACCCACAACCACAACCTACACAACCCCATTGGATTCAATTTCCACCACAGGCTTCACCACAACCTTTTCCAACACTGCCACCGACTCCATCGCAACACCCAACCTCACATCACTACCCATTGCCCATTACACCTCCACCTCATGCTCAATACATCCAACCACATCAACTTCAGGCACATTTTCCAGTGCAACCTACGGCTCCCTTCGACACTACCCAACTTGCGCAACAACATCCACATCTCACAACTCAATCACCACAATCCCAAGCTCACACACATCTTACATTGCCACTTCAGTCTCAATCTCAACCTCAACCACCACCTCTACCTCCCCAACCACATCTACCACATCTACTACATCAACTCCATCCATCACCACACACGACAAATCAAACCCCTGCCACAACATCTTTTCAACCACCACCACTACAAGCACCTGATGTACTACAAGCACCACCACCTGATCCAACAACAATCACTTCACAGCAGTTGACCACACCAACTCCACCACCACCACCTTACACTTCAACAACCTCACCAGCGACTACTCAACCTGCTTCAGCATCCATCAACACACCCGCACAGCCTCCGCCACCACACCACATTCCACGCACTACCAAGCCAACACCATCCATTGCACCCACACTCAGCACTACAAGAGGCATTTGGCGCGACCCAGATCGCTCACCACCACGCACACCTGAACACCACCGCTACTCAGCCTTTCCAGCCGTACCTTCCATTGCACCATCACAAGCTACATCCAGATCCAGGAGCCGCACTCGATCACTACGTACCACACGCTCTCCACTACCAAGACGTCGAAGCTCCGCCACACAATCCGTGGCTAGTTCTCAA